GCTTGAGGCGGGCAATGTGCCGATCGTAAGAAACGAATTGTCCTTGTGCTCGCTCATAGATCTTTGCCGCTGCCGATTCGCCAGCTCCTTTTACAGCATCCATAGCAAACTGTTTTTCGGAAGTGATGAAGGCTTCGTTGCCGGCAATGTCGCTCCGAAACTCAGGCGTCGCAAAGAACTCGCGTAGCTTCTGCACATAGATCTCGGCCGTCCGCAAATCTTTGGGCGACTTGGCAATTTCCGCTTTGATCGAGTCCAACGTAAACGCTTTGGCGTCCAATTGCACTTCAAGCTGATTCAACGAACGAAGCATCGCCCCGACCGGGTTAGCCCCTTTAGGGTCATCCTTCGGCGCGATGCGGTCGAGTTCCGTTCGGACAGCCTCGATCGTGGCGCGAGCTTGCTCCGGGCTGTCTTCCATCTGTGCGCGAATGATGGTGAAGTTATCGCGGACAAACTCTGAAAGCTTTCGCACGTTGGTTTCGGGATCTTCCGCATAAGCATTCAATGCCGACAAATTGATCACTTCAACGGCCGGAGCGTTCTCTTCTGCGAAGCCCGTCTGCGTGAGAACGACACCCAGCAACAAAGCCAGGATGGCTGGAATATAGGTTTTCATGTTTTGTTTTCTTTTGGGAATGAAGGTGTAGATCGTGTGCGCAGCATACGCGCACATCGCATCGCATGCGAAACCAGTGAGAATGAGAACAGGACCATTCGGAAGGAATGGCCCTGTTCAGAGACGCATTAGAAACGCCGCGACTAACCTGCAGCTGGCTCAGCGAGCTCTTGCTTGATCAGTTCCTCGAGCTGCTTCGCACGCGCTTCCCCCATGCCGGCATTGGCATACTTGATCTTGCCGTCACGGCCGATCAAGACGAAGTGAGGAATGCCGGAAACGGCGTAGAATTCGTACAAAGCTTTGGGATCGGTAACCACGGCGGTTGGGTGCTTCAAGTCATGTTGAGCGGTGAACTTGTTCAGCACTTCCTGCTCCACTTCCGGAGCAACATCCTCTTCACCACGCTGAGGGCTGTCGGTCTCTTCCGACCAGGTGTAACCGTAGTAACGTGTGATGCCGACAATTTGCAGGCCGTCGTCACCATACTTCTCTTGCAGTTCGACCAAGTGAGGGAAGCTGGCCACACAGG